GCTCTTGGCCTTCACAAAACCGCAGGGGGGGACCCGACCGATAGCCGTGGGCGAATGCCTTCTTCGCATAGTGGCCAAGGCAGCACTGTTCCTGACTGGGGCGGCGGCACGATCACACTTCGCGTCTCTACAGTTCGGGGTAGCAGTGGCTGGAGGGATTGAGGCGGCCATTCACACTGCGCGCACATACCTGGAGGAGAACCCGGGCTCGGTGGCGCTGCAGATTGACCTCGCCAACGCGTTTAACGCGGTGGAAAGGGCGGCGGTATTCGAGGGGCTCAAGAACGAGTCCCTTGAAAGCCTTCTGCCCCTTGTCCGCCTCTCCTACGGAACTCCCTCAGCACTCCACCTCGACCATGACTTCGGCGTGGCTCCACTGCTAAGTGCTAGAGGCGTCCGCCAGGGGGACCCTCTTGGCCCCTTGCTCTTTGCGGCAAGCATCCACCCACACCTTACCGCAACGGCACTAGCTCACCCAAGGGTCGTCATTCTCGCCTATGCAGACGACATAACGCTGCTAGGCGAAGCAGAAGCGTGCACGGCGGCATTTACACACCTCACTGCCGCACTGATCCACATAGGCCTCGAGCACAACCTTGGGAAGTGTGAGGCTTGGTCTGCAACCGCCATAGACCCCGCCTCTCTCCCTCCGAGCTTCCCCATTGCAGCAGACGGACTGCGGATATTAGGAAGCCCAATCGGGACCCCAGATGGCTGTGCCGCCAGAGTAAGGGAAAGGCTTGCAGCAGCAGCAGAACCCTTGCCGCTCCTGGCCCAAATGGACCCCCAATTGTGCCTGCTGCTACTCACCCGCTGTGTGGGCCGGCGAGCATCCTTCCTGGCCAGAACCACTCCGCTAGAGGCACTACCTGAGGATGAATGGGCGGCATGGGGGGAGCAACTGCTGCATACCTTCCTGGACGCGACCCATATCATGCTGCCAAGGAGTGAGGCGGAACAGAGGAGAATCTGGAGGCAAGCGGCGCTGGCCGTAACATTGGGGGGGCTTGGCATTACAAATCCTGCAGTTGAAGGGAGCTATGCATACCTTGCGTCCGTGGTGGGCACCTCCCACTTACTGCACTCCCTGGCTGAGGCACTCCACCCAGATGTAGCAGCCCTCCTCCCCCTAATGGACCCCACCTCCGGCTCCGCGCACGCCCTGCCTGCACGCCTTGCAGCAGCGGAAGCAGCCCTCCCCCCCGAGGCTCTAGAAGCTCTCCAGGCCGGGAAAGCAGACCCACAGGGCCTCAAGCTGCAGCAGTCTCTAGCGCTGGCGGTTCAGACACGCCGCTTCCTGAGGGTCATGAACGAGGCAAGGCGGATGCGCCCCAACCCCCTCTCTGGCCATGCCCAGAGAATGCAGTCGGTGCTCGGCCCTGGTGCGGGAGATTGGCTGCTGGCACGACCCATCATACCCTCGCTTAGGATGGGACCCTCCCAGCTCTCCTCCGCTGCTGCGTTCCGCCTGGGCCTCCCCCTACCTGTCCCCAGGCGCTGCGACTGCCGCTACCGCACCAAATTCCCTGATGACCGCCTCCCAAACCATCTCATGCGCTGCGAGAAAGGGGGGGGAAGGATTGCGACTCACCATGCGCTCAGGGACGAGATTGCTTTGATTGCGGCAGAGGCGGGATTCACGGTGCACAAAGAAACCTATGTATTCTCTCTCGTTGAAAACCTGAAGGCGGACGTCGCAATCCGCCATCCCCGGACGGGAGAGGTTTGGATGTGCGACGTGACAGTGACGGACCCCGTTTCTCACCAAGATGAGAACTGCAATAGAGCACCGGGGTGGGCGGCTAGGGCAGCGGCGGACAAGAAGGAGCAGAAATACGCGCGCCGGAATGCGTGGGTGGGCTTTCATGCCCTAGCGGTAGAGACATATGGGTACCCCTCGCCCGGGGTGTTGGCATTTTTGCGGCAGTGCGCGGAGCTGGCGGCCAAGTTGCGATTCAACGCAGCCCCCAACTCCTACGAGGCCGCCAAGCTGCTAACGGAATACCGCCAGCGCTGGAGCGTGTGCCTCCAAAAAGCACAAGCCAACGCCCTCCGCTGCAAGACCAACGAGGCGATAGCAGCGGACGAGCTCGGCATGCGGGGCCCCTTTGCCCCCCTTAGCGAAGGCCAGCTCTACCAGCTAATAGAGCCCCCGTTCGACCTTTAGGGTCGGACGGAGGGGGCGGGAGGGAGTAAGGGAATGAGGTAGTTAGGTAGACCGAGTGTTATGTCTGGGTTTGCATGTGTTTGCATCTTCCCATGTATCTCCCATCAATCAATACGAGGACCATTCGAGAGAGAGAGAGAGAGAGAGAGAGAGAGAGAGAGAGAGAGAGAGAGAGAGAGAGAGAGAGAGAGAGAGAGAGAGAGAGAGAGAGAGAGAGAGAGAGAGCACTAAAAGACACGGATGGGGAGTAGGAGAAGAAGCTAGAGCTCGATATCACGGCACGTGCTGTGATCAGCCCCCCGTACAATTTGGCAGGCAGTGGGACATCAGAGTTGCTGCTTGCATGGCATAGATGGTCTGCTATGGCCTCGCTGACAGCCTTGTTCACAGCTGTGCTGTAACTGGGTTACAACAATGTGCGTCGCATGCCACGTGTGATTATTATGGAGAAAGTGTGTTGCACGATGCATGCCCCTCCTGCTGAATGGCACTGAGGCCACTAGTGAATACAGGCGAGCAGTGGACAGGTGAAAAGCAATGCATTTGATTGCCATCATCATCATCATCACCGATTGTATGCTGTGCTGCAACAATCAGATCAGCACTCTCTCTAACCTGATGCATCTTTGTTACCTCTCCTTGTCCGGGCAGGAGCCACACCAGGGGTTGGACCTGCTGCTGCTTCTGACGCTGCTGCTGGGCAACCTTGTGTGGCTTGTGCCGCTCTGGGGTGTAACTGCAGTGCGACTCCACCCTTACGATGGTGAGCTCACTGAACTGCTTAGTGTTCTCAGTGAAGAGCAGTAGCTGGTTAGCTGGCTAGCTGGTTAGCTGGCTAGCTGGTTAGCTGGCTGGCTAGCTGGTTAGCTGGTTAGCTGGCTAGCTGGTTAGCTGGTTAGCTGGCTAGCTGGTTAGCTGGTTAGCTGGCTAGCTAGTTAGCTGGTTAGCTGGCTAGCTGGATAGCTGGCTAGCTGGCTAGCTGGCTAGCTGGCTAGCTGGCTAGCTGGCTAGCTGGTTAGCTGGCTAGCTGGTTAGCTGGCTAGCTGGTTAGCTGGTTAGCTGGTTAGCTGGCTAGCTGGTTAGCTGGTTAGCTGGTTAGCTGGCTAGCTGGTTAGCTGGTTAGCTGGCTAGCTGGTTAGCTGGTTAGCTGGTTAGCTGGTTAGCCCCCACCCACCCCAGCACGACAGTGAAAGATACCAGCAGTCTGTATCGTTCCGTGCACTAAAGAAACGCATGCATCTCACTCAATCCCCGCACCCGCGCCTCACCGCACCCATCTGTGATGTGCCTCCGCCCAGCGTCCAATCTCGCAGTTCTGGCCAGCGAGTGGGGCAACTTCAGTGGCAGCGACACGTGGCAGCGCCGCGAGGTGGACTGCCGTGCCATGGAGGGCATCTGGTGTGACAGGGATGGCCACGTCACTGCCCTGTGAGCGCATGCACGGACCTGTCTGAGCCCACCCAGCCGTGCAGGCGGCCCGTGTGTGCAGTGTGTGCATGGATCAGCGCCTTTGAGGGAGTGGTGGAATGTGGTGTGGAATAGTGCAGTGCAGCATGTGGCGCTGAAGCAGTGCAACTGAGCTGCTCTCCGCAGTCGTGCTATGCAGCTGAAGTCCCCTCCCCCTTGTGTATTCCAGTTTTGTCTCTTCAATTTATACGTGCCTATCTATTTGTTTCTTAAAACGCCGCACTCTCCGTCTATGCCATACTGATGCTTCTTCTCATGCCCTGTTGACGCATCACTGTACCATGTGGCATGCCACGTTGCCAAAAGAAACGCATGTGCAAGCTCTCTTCTGCCGCCCAACGAGTCCCTCCACCGCAGAGTTCTGGAAGGTCACCAACTGGATGCACCAATACCCGACACAATCAGCCACTTTCAACGCCTCACACACCTGTGAGCTCTTGTTCCATCTCCCCGTGCGTCAACAGGGTGCGCTCTTTAAGACCTCTCACACGATATCAACTTCGTTCCTCTGTGTTCTCCTCCGTCCATTCCACGTCCAGAAGGTTGTGGATATGCCAGCAGGTCCGGTCTGTGGTCCTGCCAGCAGGTCCGGTCTGTGGTCCTGCCAGCAGGTCCGATCTGTGGTCCTGCTAGCAGGTCCGCTCTGTGATCTCAATGGTGCTGAACGTGCAGGTGCAGTGCAGCATTGGTCCCTCTCTGCACTGTTGCTTTCTCAGCACCGTTGTCCTCTCAGCACCTTCTCCAACCGAGCACTCTTGGAACAGCTTGGGATCGGCTTAAGTCGGTCCAGACTGGCCTGGGTCGGGCCCAGGTTTGACTCAAAGGCTGGCTGATTACGGTCCAGGTGGACGGGTCTACCGCCTCATAAAACAGTCGCATAGAGGCGGTAGACTGGTCCACCTGGCCTGTAATCAGGAAGTGGGTGAGAGAGTAGCAGCGCAGACACATTAAGACCGTCCGAATGAAGAGCTCGAAAGGCGAGGAATGAGGCCCAACACCCCCAAATTCGAGACTGAGATCCTGCTCACGGCAACACCCCAACTCATTGCATGCAGAAAAATCTGCAGCCCGGCTCGGCAGACCACCACGAGAGGCCAGGCCAGGCCGCGTCTGGCATGGGAGAGGATGGCTGGCCCACCCAGTCGGCCAACCTGTGACACGGTGTGGTGCCCTTGTGTAGATGGGACACAATGCCGAGCGACATAGGATGGTGTGGGATTAAAGCAATGTGTTTTTTTAGAGTAAGTACAAGGATCTTCACAGCAATGGGTGAGTGGTGTCTGGTAAGCACAAGGAAGCTTGGGTTCTTTTATATGAAATATAAATTTCATACTTCCATTCCAATTTTCCCGCCCTCCATGTCCAGAAAGCTCAGTTTCTGCCAAATCACCGGGAGCATTCCGAATGTCATCTCCAACTTGGCATCCCTTGTGCTCCTGTAAGCCCTCACTGGCTCCACGCTTAGGACAGTTTTTTTTTCCTTGGCGCTTACACTTGTCATTCCCGTTCCCATGCATATCACTTGTCTTCCCTGCGGCCTCCTGCCACATCCCTCATCACAGTGAACTAGTGGGCAATCTAATTTCAGGCAGTCTTCCTGCAGACATCAGCTGTTTGACCCGCTTACAGATTCTGTGCGTATAAATGCACAACTTCTGGTACATGGGCATAGTGAAACACTGGTATGGTATGTATGTGTATCTTGCAACAAAAATAGTTGCATCACCCACGTCTATATAAGCAGAAGCTTTGAGCAGGATGTGTTCTAACTTTAATCTCTTCCCTGGCAATCTAATCTCTGTCTTGTTTGCCTTCAATGGTCGTCGATTCTTCAATTTCAGGCACCTTGAATTCAATCACATTTCTGGGCCAATAGACTCCGTCTGCAACTTAGTGCAACTCAAAAGACTGTCAGTCTGCTGCTGTAACTCCTCTCTTTGCCCGCTGCTGCCCTGGTTGATTGTGTTTCCTTCTTACTCGCACGTCTCTCATGTACAAAGTCAAGTCAAGGTTGAACACAAGTTAGCAAGACAAATACACGCAGTAGCCAGCGCATGAATGTGCCACGTGAAAGAAGGAGTGTTTTGAGACGTCTCAAAAGACAAATACACGCAGTAGCCAGCGCATGAATGTGCCACGTGAAAGAAGGAGTGTTTTGAGACGTCTCAAAAGACAAATACACGCAGTAGCCAGCGCATGAATGTGCCACGTGAAAGAAGGAGTGTTTTGAGACGTCTCAAAAGACAAATACACGCAGTAGCCAGCGCATGAATGTGCCACGTGAAAGAAGGAGTGTTTTGAGACGTCTCAAAAGACAAATACACGCAGTAGCCAGCGCATGAATGTGCCACGTGAAAGAAGGAGTGTTTTGAGACGTCTCAAAAGACAAATACACGCAGTAGCCAGCGCATGAATGTGCCACGTGAAAGAAGGAGTGTTTTGAGACGTCTCAAAAGACAAATACACGCAGTAGCCAGCGCATGAATGTGCCACGTGAAAGAAGGAGTGTTTTGAGACGTCTCAAAAGACAAATACACGCAGTAGCCAGCGCATGAATGTGCCACGTGAAAGAAGGAGTGTTTTGAGACGTCTCAAAAGACAAATACACGCAGTAGCCAGCGCATGAATGTGCCACGTGAAAGAAGGAGTGTTTTGAGACGTCTCAAAAGACAAATACACGCAGTAGCCAGCGCATGAATGTGCCACGTGAAAGAAGGAGTGTTTTGAGACGTCTCAAAAGACAAATACACGCAGTAGCCAGCGCATGAATGTGTGCATGACCTCACCTAACTACTTCTCCGCTCATACCCCTAAGCTAACCATCTAACCATTCCAACAATTACTTTATGGAATTCGCCTACTATAGCAGCAGTATAACTGTGTGTTACTGGTTGGTGGTTAGTTGGTCTCTGCTAGTTGTTTGTTAGCCCTTCAACTTCGCCCTGAACGTGAGAGGTATGCACCATAAACGCTGGTAAGAAAGGGCAATAGATTTGCCAGATTTGTTGCAATGGCAAAGTTGCCAGATCTGTTGCTAGGGAGTTTGTACCTCCAATTCTTTTTCGTGGATGTCAATACTTGCAGAATCATCACGAATCTCAATACAAGGGAATAAAACACTTGCATTGCAATTGGCGAAATTCAAAAGTGTCGACTGGCACATTTTGCGATTCAACCGTGCAGTTTCCTGTAATAAATGCTGCACTCAAACGTGACTCAAACATGCTTGATTTGAATATGCAAGTGTTCATGTCGAACATCTATGTGTTCGGCTAGTATTGGAGAACACTCGACCTCTGTTTGAGTGAAATCAAGCATGTTTGGTTTGGCTCGATGAGGTGCTTGACTAGTGTTCGACTCGAACACGTTCGTGTTATTATTTTTCTCAGCTTAGTAAGTACTGCACACACACACACACACACACACACACACACACACACACACACACACACACACACACACACACACACACACACCACAAATATCACAAACAGATACATGTACCATTGTTTTTGGATACATTTCTGAATGGTGTATACACACTTGCCTCCCCCCCAGTTCTCCCCCAACACATTCTCACCTCCCTTCTTCCCTCAAAGCTCCTCCCAAGCTATCCAGTCCTCAGTTGTCTTACCTATGATGTGACGGTTTCCTGATTTATACACGCCATTCAGAATTCTCATTCGCAACCAGTTCAATGGTTCGATTCCTCAAGAGCTTGGGAACCTCAGGCAGCTCAATAGCTTGTGAGATGTGCACTTGTGCTGTCACTCGCTCATGCATGGGCGGACTCATAAACCATTGACTGGTTGTTTAATCTCGTTGGAAGACAATGTGCGTGTGGTGATTGGTTTCAACCACGTAAGTTTGCGGAAATGAACCCAAGAGGCAATTCAAATGTGTTTCTTGAACCGTTTTGTCTCGGTTAATCATGCACCTGAAGCGGGTGGTCGGTTTTGTGGTTGTTGTAATTCCCTGCAATGAGCTACGAGCAAGAAGACCCTACAAAACAAGCTTGGAAAGCTAGTGTGAAGCGAAAGTATTGTTGTATTATTGATGAGTAGGCTATGGCGAGTGACTCAGTCTCAATGAGGATGGTGGTGCTGCAATGCCAGGTTTGCGCTTGAGGTTGGGGGAATTATGGGCTTTGTCGGTCGGCGACACCGAACGGCGTGAGGATGTTGAGGGCTTAGGGGAAGGGTAGGGAGATGTGCATTCTAGGCTTTATAAAATAATGAATGAAGGGTCAACATTTTCAAGATTGCATTGTAGTTGCCCCACTCTTTGGCCAGCACTGCAAGGCTGGGTGAGGGCACAGATGGGATCAGGTGCAATGGGTGCCGAAGTGTTGTGGAAGCAAGAATGTCCCAGTGGGTACCTTTGGTCTTAGTGGTCGCGGGTTCAACTCTCATCGGCAGCACCTTCTCTTCTCATTATGCCGAACATGACACTCCCACACTCCACCACACTCACCCACAGTGAAGTGTGGCCACAGTTGGCATTGCCATCTGTCCACCCATCCCATACTCACCTTGTTGGCTCCTATGGTGTGCCACATGCTGCCATGTAGGCTGTTGTTCCAGCCTGGCCCACATGTGCAACATGTGGCCTCAATTGCTAGCTTGGCAAGGTTGGCTAGCCCTGCCCTCAGCTTTGAGGTGCTGCAGTCCGTACCTGATTCCCGGTACGTGGACATTGCTGTCAGCACCAGCCACCACCCCATCTTCTCCACATGGACTCCTCTCGTCGCTGCTGTCTTCATTCTCACCATCCTCCTTCTCCTCCTCCTCTTCCCTTATGGGGCTCCCTACGCATCGGCATTCACGGCCTCCTCATTCAATATGGAGCGGACTTCGTCGTGGCTGGTGGACAGCGGCGCATCCTCCCATATCTGCTCGGATCGTTCGCTGTTTTCGTCTCTCAAGAAGCCCAACGAAGAGATCCTTGTTCGTTTTGGTGGAGGAGAGACTTACAAGGTCTTGGGAGTCGGCACGGTGGTGGCTACTCTTCGGTCACCAACATCGGAAACCACCATTCAGCTTGACAACGTTCTATTTCTCCCTTCATCAGTTCACAACCTGCTCTCTGTTCGTGCGCTTGGTGCTGCCGGCGTTGCCGTCTCGTTCCTCGCTGCTGGGCGCGTTGTTCTCACATCTGATGACGTTCCTATTGGCGAGGGCTACACCCGCAACAATCTGTTTTATCTTCAACTGCATCATGGGAGCAGTGCTGCTCCTTCTATCAAGCCAACTGCATGTCCAGCCTCCACCACCACCTCCTCGTACCTCTGGCATCGTCGTTTCGGGCATCTCAACATGCAGGCCTTGTCAACACTTCATCGGCAGCAGCTGGTCACCGGTCTTCACCTCTCCTCCACCTCGATTCCCCCCTGCATCTCGTGCTATCGTGGGAAACAAACACGTCAGCCATTTGGCGTGTCCCATTCTCGCACCACAGCCCCACTCCAACTCATTCACTCAGATATTTCTGGACCGCTTTCATATGGAACTACCATTGGCGGCGCTCGCTACCTTCTCACCTTCATCGACGACTACTCCCGCCACATTACAGTGTATCTCCTACGCCACCGGTCGGAGGCACTTTCATGCTTCAAGGCTTACGTCACTCGGGTGCACAACATGCATTCCCCACACACCATCAAAACCTTTCGCTCTGACGGTGCCTCGGAGTTCACTTCCAAAGCCTTCACTTCATTCCTTACAGCTCATGGCATCGCCCGCCACCTCTCCACGCCATACACACCTGAGCAAAATGGAGTAGCTGAGCGGGCCAACCGGACTTTACTTGAGATGGTCCGTTCCATGCTCCATGATGCACACATGGACAAAGGCTGGTGGGGTGAAGCCGCTCTTACTGCTGCCTATCTTCGTAATCATGCCATTAGTCGGGGTGGTTCAACTTCTAAGACTCCCATGGAACTATGGACCGGTGCACGTCCGGATGTATCACACCTCCGCATCTTCGGTTCACCCGTCTCGGTCCTCATTCCTTCCCAACGGCGTTCTAAGCTCGACGACCGAAGCACGGCCGGCATCATGGTTGGATATGGTCATCTCGACGGCACCAAAGCTTACCGCATCTATATCCCATCTCAGCACCGTGTCATCCTTTCTCGTGATGTCATCTTCATGGAGCCCTCTGCACCGCCTTCCGACGACTCTCGCGACCCTCCATCGTCATCTCCACCCACATCCTCCTCACTACCTCCTCCTACACACCCTTCTTCCTTGGACCCAATCTCCCCTCCCTCTCCTTCCCCCACCATACCTTCCTCCACCAACCCCCACCCACAATCCCCAAACCTGCCCGCACCAGCCACATCTTCTCCTCCTCCATTGTTTTCCAACCTTCCTCTGCCCTCGACGCCGCAAGACTTTCACCTTCCATCCTTCTCTCCTCCCTCTTTGCCTCCCCCTCCCCATTGCACGACTCGCTCCTCCCCGCCATCCCCTTCAGCTCTTCCCGATCCTTCCCTTTTCTCCTTCCTCAAGGTCTTACCATCCCCTTCCGAACCCATTGACTTCACTCTTCCTCCTCTTTCCAACACCTCTGCCAATGCTGCCCTTCACCATCATTACGAACCTCAAACCATTCATGAGGCTCGTACCGGCCCTGATGCTGCCGAATGGATCAAGGCTGCTGATGCGGAACTCGCTGCCCTGCACGCTAATGACACCTACAGCATTGTTCCTCGACCACCCAAGTGCAAGCCGATTCCATGCAAATGGATTTTCAAGGTCAAGAAGAACGCTGATGGTTCTATTGAACGCCGCAAAGCCCGCCTTGTTGTCAAAGGCTTCAAGCAACGTGATGGTGTTGATTTTCATGACACCTTTGCTCCTACCGTCCGCTTCGCCACCCTCCGCTTGTTTCTCACCATAGCTGCCGCTTTCAACCTGGACGTCCATCAGCTGGACATCTCCAACGCCTTCCTCAACGGCACCCTTGATGAGATTCTCTACATGATGCAGCCTCCCGGTTATGACCTTCCGGCGGTCCATGGTGTTGAGCAAGTTTGTCTCTTGCACAAACCGCTGTACGGGTTGAAGCAAGCTCCGCGATGCTGGTACCGCAAGCTTCGTGAGGAGCTTGCTGCCTTTCACCTCTTTGCTGCTCGTGCGGACCCCGGCCTCTTCATTGCTCCTCCTCACTCACCTTATCGGCCTACAGCTGCATCCTTCTTCATGCTTCTCGTCTATGTTGACTACCTCATCATTCTCTCCTCCTCCTCCTCTCTTCTTGCCTCATTCAAGCATGCCCTTTCATCTCGCTTCAAACTTCGTGACCTCGGACCTCTCTCCTACTACCTTGGCTTTCACATCACTCGTGATCAAACTTCCCGCACTCTCCACCTTCATCAATCCAAATTCATCACCTCCATTCTAGACACCTACTCCTTCTCTCCACTGAACCCCGCTGCCACTCCCATGGACACAAAGTTTCAGCCACCCGTGACTTCCTCCCCGCACTCCTCCTCCTTCCCTTACACCTCGTTTGTCGGCTCCATCATGTATGCCATGGTGGGGACCCGTCCCGACCTCGCATATAGCGCTGGAGTTCTTGCTCGTCACCTTCACGATTGGTCTACTCCTCACGTCTCGGCTGCCAAACGCATTGCTCGCTACTTGAAAGGGACTACCTCCCTTGGGCTTCTCCTTGGTGGCATTCCCGACACCCTCGAACTTCATGGCTGGTGTGACGCCTCTTGGGGACCGGAGGGGGAGCTGCGTCGCTCCGTTACGTGCTACTTGTTCTTCCTCGGTCCGTCACTCATCTCTTGGCAGTCCAAACGCCAAGCCGTCGTTGCTACCTCTTCATGTGAAGCTGAATATTACTCTCTGGGCGCCGCGGTGCACGAGGCATTATGGCTTCGTTCGCTCCTTACTGCAGTTGGACTTCCCCCTACCGGCCCCACCCGTATCTCGTGTGACAACAACAGTGCCATCATTCTCGCCAAGGACGATGGCGTCTTTCATCCCAAGGCCAAGCACATCGACATCAAGCACCATTTCATTCGCGATCATGTTGCCGACCACTCCATCACCCTTCACTATGTTCCTACTCAAAACAACCTCGCTGACATTGGGACCAAGCCTTTGCCCCGTGACCCTTTTCTTCGCATCCGTGGTCTTCTCGGTCTCACCCATGTTTCCTCTTGAGGCACCCTACCCCGGGGACATCTTTGAGGGGGGGTGTTGTGGAAGCAAGAATGTCCCAGTGGGTACCTTTGGTCTTAGTGGTCGCGGGTTCAACTCTCATCGGCAGCACCTTCTCTTCTCATTATGCCGAACATGACACTCCCACACTCCACCACACTCACCCACAGTGAAGTGTGGTCACAGTTGGCATTGCCATCTGTCCACCCATCCCATACTCACCTTGTTGGCTCCTATGGTGTGCCACATGCTGCCATGTAGGCTGTTGTTCCAGCCTGGCCCACATGTGCAACATGTGGCCTCAATTGCTAGCTTGGCAAGGTTGGCTAGCCCTGCCCTCAGCTTTGAGGTGCTGCAGCTAGCCTCAAGAGTTCAGCCACATAAATGTGGCTTCCCACTTCTCTAGAACTCATCCTTGGAAAGGACATTGCTCTAGCCTTTCAGGCTTGTACCATCTTCCTACTAAGGATATATTGTTCTTCTCTCATTGTGCCTCAAGTTCACCGATCCTCATTCTACACGAAGAAACTGAGCGGATGGGATCTTGCTCAGAAATTGAACGGAGCCAAAGAACGAGCGTGAGCGTTGAACCGAAGAGCCATCCTCCTCCCACCTCCCCCCATCCGTCCCCCCTTTTCTCACATCCCCCCTTCCGTGCCTCCGTTGGCTCCACGGGCTTAACGCACGCCTCTTCTTGGCTTGAGATCTGGTGGCCGAAATACCACTGATAACTTATCATGGATGGGTTGCAACGTGGTAGGCTTGTGTTTAAGTTGTCCAGGCTCGGCTCAAACTGGCCCTGGCTCGATCCATAGGTCAAATTGTCACAGGTCAAATTTTCTCACGTCAAATTGTCACAGGTCAAATTGTCACAAGTCAAATGGTCACAGGTAAACTTTTCTTGAGATGAAAAAACTTGTCTCGACCAGTCAATCTGTCAAGACACATCCGGCTCCAGCTGAATCAGGCTCCGTGTTCATCCACTTGAATGCCTTTCCCTCGTGCATTTTCTGCCACTCTGTTGCTGCTTGATTCGCGTGCAGAAACATTGAACAGAACCGGTTTAATGGTAGCATCCCTTCATCAATAGGCAACCTGGCTTTGAATCACTTGTATGATAGCAAGCAACCTTGTGCAGAAGGTCTTTGCTTGTGAGTAGCTTCACAAAAGTGAAGGTCAAAACTCATCATCTAATTTCTTGCAACATGGTGTGTCCAGCGTTTGAAGTCCTTTGGTAGCAAGTGGGCTTTTTATTTTACACCTGAAGCCCCCTCTCTCGTGCATTGATGTGCATTCGTGTCTTGCTTCTTCATGCGTGCCTTCTGTGTGGTGTGGCAGGGCTCTCAGCGCCAACCAGCTCTCAGGCTCCATTCCTGACTCTCTCAGTCGCCTGCAGGAGGTCACATACATGTGAGGCCACTGGCTATAGCATACCAGGACAAGCCTCTGTCTGTATGCCTTACCTTTTTAAATATGCACGTGCGCATGAGGGTAAAGTGCTAATATGGGACGCTGCTGCCTTAAGGAATCATGACCTGAAGGTGGTGGCGAGACGAGGTTGGTGAAGTGTTTGAAGAGTCGCCAGATCAGAGGGCTTATGTTTGTGGAGATGTGTAACAACGAAGGAAGCGAGACGTGTGGTGCGAGAGTGGTTGTCCATAATGAAAAAGGGTGGAGGAAACATGTGAGGTACAGGGCCTAATGTCGAAAGTGGATCTCAACCTGAGGCTAGTGAATTTCATAGAAGCAACCTTCACAATGTAATCCATTGTGCACTTGTGATCTCTGCATGTATGGCATGAAGAGTTTTACACCTTTTCCCCTTCTTTCCATGCAACCACTTTCTCTATCTCCCGCCACTAAGTTCTGCCATGCCAACTGTCAACCTTGCATGTGCATGTGGGGAGGGGGGGAGGGGGGGAGGGGGGGATGGGGGGGAGGGGGGGAGGGGGAGATGGGGGGGAGGGGGGGGGGCTCACATCCACCAGCGCACTGGCAGAGAATCAACTGACAGGATCCATCCCTGAATCACTCACAGCAATCGCTGGTTTGCGCAGCCTGTGAGACTCGTTCAACCTCACAAAGCCCATCCCCACCCTGGCCTGGGTTGCACAGCCAGAGCTGGCCACTCCCGATTCTTTCGCTCACACACTTCGAAACAGCATGCAGTACCGTATTCCCCATGTAGAGGGCCCCACTTAGAATTGGCCCCAGAGCATAAAATGAGGCAAATGGGCGATAACGGCTATTCCAATCATATGCCCCGCCTCAATTGGTGTTAAGCTACATGCACTTAATATAGAGCAACGCTAAGTTTATGAATGGTTGTTAAAAAAAAATATATATATATTAACAATAGTAATAATAATAATAAATAATTCAAGGGTGTTACATAACTACGTTGCCAAATACGCTCTGGGTAGGGTGCGTACCACGTATATACGATTGCGTACGTACGTGGTACGCTAATACGCTTCGAATTCGTGAAAAAACGCGCGGGCAGCCCGGCGAAAAAAAAAAAATCGAAATTGAAAAAAAAATGCGACGGTTATTAGGGCTTCGCGACTGGTTACGCGACCAAGCACATCGCCCAACCCACGTCTGAAATTCAAATTTCAGAATCCAAACCTCCCACCACCCCAACCACACACCACCCCACCAAACCTCTCATATCCAACCACCCCTCTCAAATGTCCAGCACGTCATGTGAGCATTTACTCGTTGACGCCTTCCTATCCTTCATTCGTTTCTCTCCTCCTCAATTTCATTCCCGAGCTCTGATCTCCCGTGGGGAAGCTCGCTAGAGGGTGGGGATTATGTGGATGAACTATGTATTTCTGGATATTTATGAAATAAAATATTGACATGTGTTGTTGTCGGCCTGAACCCCCCCCCTGAAACAGGTTTTTTTATACCTGCCCGGGAAAAAAAGTTTTAGCTGCCCGCCAGCGTATTTTTGCGTATCAGCAGTACGCCAGCCTTGGCGTACCGCGTATATACCAAGCGTATAATACGCTAACGTATTATACTCGGTACTCGTATTTAGCAACGTAGTTACATAACCCCCACTATCCGGGGGATTACGGTATCTGATTTCGCACTGTCTTGTGATTGAAGGGGTCCACACAATGGAGCATGCTTGCACTCCCTTGTGCTTTGTGAAGTGCTGCAACTGGTAGGCTTGTAATTACGGGTTGACCTCGGAAGGATTGTAGCACAGCCCTTATATATTGCATTCTGTTATGCTCTGACGATGGTAGGCTTCAAATCGGCTCGACTGATTTCATCCAAATCGGGCCTTGTTGGGGCATCGTACCTCCTTGAGAGGTGCTGGAATGCAGACAGCAGCTATGATTGATTTGACATGACATGTCAAGTGTCGCTATGCTAGTCAAAATGCTAACATTCTGGTTTACTAAGCCACAAATCCAAAATGAGCATATGAAAAGAGCGAGTGCGTGTGAGCTGAAATGGGGCTGTGTGGGTTGGGCTCTGTAGATGTGCAGCGGAAAGTGGTGGTGGGAACGGGGGATGGAGGGGAAGAGGGAGGGGAAGGGAGGGGGGGGGGGGGAGGGGAAGGGTGGGGAGGGGTTGGGGAGGGATTTGTTAGTGGTGTTTGTGGGGTGATTTCTGTTGAGTGGAATTTGTGAAATCGCAATGCATTTAACTTTGGTACAACAGAACAGCAAACAGTTATGAGATCCCATATATGTGTATATATACGTATATATGTGTATACATATGTGTGTATGTGTGTACGTGTGTATGTACGTACCTGTGTACGTGTGATACGTGTGTACGTACGTACGTATGTCTGGATGCATGTACATACGTACGTATGTATGTATGGATGGATGGATGTATGTATGCATGTATACATGTATGCATGTATGCATGTATGCATATGCTTGTATGCATGTATGTATATTTTATTTGCTGCACCATCAAGCATCAACTTCATTTTCTGTTGAACAATTTCGGCCTAGTTTGTCTCATTCTCACACCAAGCTGCAAGCTGGCTCAAACACATCTGGCGACTGTAGTGTAGCGCCTGCTTGAAGGCTGCCACACATCTAATGGTTGTAAGATGCACATAAGTCAGCCTCCTTATTAAGAATACAGGAACTATCGTATCTTCCTCCCTGGCACACTACAGCCCACTTTCTTCTCCTTACACTCATCCCATGCCCTCAGCATGGCTGAGTCTTGGAATTGCTCGATTTGACAGACATCAAGCCACAGCCTCTACGAGACAAGCCTGGCTTGTGCGCATGGCTGCTGCAAGGCACACACATGGTGCATTGGCTGCCTCCGGCCCGTCCCTAGGTATCTGCACAACAACCGTTTGAGTGGGTCAATTCCAGCATCACTGGCATCACTGCAGAATCTGGATACCCTGTGAGTCTCTTTCTGCCCCACCTGCAAGTCTGTTGCAAGTTGCAACTGATGGCTTTCCATGAATGTTAATCTTCGTTGTTGTGATGTTTGGCTCTCCTGGTTCGCTTGTTTTTCCCTCATTTGTGCTGATTCCTACTGCACACCATGCTCATTGTGTGCTGCACTGCTCATCATTCACATTGCGCACCATACATACTCAATCTGTTGCACAATCAATCTGCGTACAAGCTGTTGCACATACATGTTCCTGTCAGATTTTTCAGCATTAACAAGCTGTCAGGAAGCATACCTGCTTCCCTGGGTGACCTCCTGCTTCTCAAGTACCTGTAAGTGGATGGACGTAGATCAGAACCTCCATCTGGTACGCAACCTGCTGCTGAGACACACTGCTCTAGGAGAAGCTTGCATGGCAGTTTGGTGACACCTGGCACTAGTATCTAGGCAAAAGCAAAGCGCGAGCAGCGGTTTAGCTCGTCATTTCATCAGATTGAACTGCCAGATGATGACGGATTCTGGTCACCACCAGATCTGGCTCGATGATCCTCTTGGGGCCGCTCGTTGGAGAAATACCACGTGAGAACAAATTCAAGTCTGAAGCGTATATACAGACTTAAATGTTTCAAGTCTATTTAGCTCGAATGTGTCCTTTTTTCTAAACTCTAGCTTGGATCTGTAATCAAGGGCATGCAAATTTTGCTATCCACGTGATCTGGTCAGCTCATCACCAGCCCACCGCGCACACAATGACCCACCCCGGCTAGGGTCTTTCATGCAAACCACCAGACGCCAATCCCCGTTATCAGCCCGTGACGAGCCGGTCCCAGCTTGGCCGTCACAGACTATGAGCCATAACTGCCTCGTGACAAGTGGATCCTGGTTCGGGCCCTGACTCGGCCGGCCTGGCTCATGTCTACTACCAGTGCCCATCAAACCCCCTCTGAGACTGCCGTCTAGCTTGCCTGAACTGATGAGGCCGAGCTGATTGGCAGATCAGCAGATACTGGATTGGTCTTTTGCCCACTATGCTTGTGTCTCCTTTGTTACTCTCTCTTTCGTTGTGCTTTCACATGTGCAGGTCTTTCTCATTCAATCAAGTGTCTGGAACCATACCAACAGCTTTCGGAAAGCTCACCAACCTGCTCCACTTGTATGCATGCAATCATTATGGTTGTCAGCTCATCACTGCTCCAATCCTCTGGTACACAACTTGCATCCTCTGTTCAAAGTCCCAGAGACAAATGTGGTATCAATCTACACGATCGTCTGCTTGCAGGAGCTTCACGGGCAATCAGATGTATGGGGCCGTCCCAAGCGTCCTCAGCAACCTATCCAAGCTTCGATCCTTGTAATCAGCGTTGGTGGTGTACAATCTTAGAGTAAATGCTCCTTGTAGAGAAGGTACAGAGCTGAAGCGGCGTTGTGAATGTATACCAATATATGACAAAGAAGATGACATGTATGAGGCAGGCACAGGCACAGGCTAAATCTGGGTCAGCCCAATTTTAACCTATCCGGACTACCTATCCCAGCCGAAACCTTGCCCGGTTGAGTTTGGCTCGGTGTTCCTTCACTGCGTTCATGTTCGTTGACCTCACGTTCTGTGTGTTTAGTGTTCGTTCCTTTACCAAGTGTGTGTTTTTGTGCTGAGTGCACTGCTAAGCTGGAAAACATACGCCGGTCGCTACGCTAAACGCATCGCATGAAGCGCAAATACTAGATGCATGTTATGCACGGCACTATGCTGATTGGAAATCTCTGGTTCGTCAGGCTGGACACGGCTCAAGCTGTTTTTGTGCATGCGTAACATACCGGTTCTTGTTCTTGTACCCTTCTTTTCATAGCTACCTACTTTGCATCCATCACTGTCAATCACAACTCGCGGTGCTTATGTGCCAAAAGTGAGAGTAGGAAACTGAGACCTTACTCCAGGTGATTCTGTGTCTTCTTGCAGTACAAGTAAAACATGGAGCTGGAGGATATCTAGCTCACTATGTCCCTTGCGCTTCTCCCTCCCCATGCACGTGTGCATGCATGTGAGTGTGCGTGTGCGTCTCAGCAATCTGCAGGACAATGGCTTCTCAGGACAAGTGGACCACATCGTGCAACCCATGAAGAGCATTGAGAGACTGTCTGTATTGTTCTGCAGCACCACTAACTGACTGCTGTTTTTCCAGAGTATACATTCATGCCAAAGTCCCAACGCCGTTCTCTTGGCTTTTGATACCAAGGCCCTGACGAAGTGACTTTTGAGTCGACTCAAAAGCCTAAAGCCGTTCTCTTGGCTTTTGATACCAAGGCCCTGACGAAGTGACTTTTGAGTCGACTCAAAAGCCTAACGCCGTTCTCTTGGCTTTTGATACCAAGGCCCTGACGAAGTGACTTTTGAGTCGACTCAAAAGCCTAACGCCGTTCTCTTGGCTTTTGATACCAAGGCCCTGACGAAGTGACTTTTGAGTCGACTCAAAAGCCTAACACCGTTCTCTTGGCTTTTGATACCAAGGCCCTGACGAAGTCTTCTCGTGGGCTACTTGGGCCCAGGGTCCTAGCAAACTCTTGTCTTCAGCTGCTTGCTTTTAGCATCATAACAGGCTTTTGGGCTACTTGGTGATTTGACGAAGATTGAGGGTTGCAACAAACCTTTCTTGGCATGTTACAGTTACTTGCTAGCCAAACAAACTCGAAATTGACTGAAAGACAGGAGGACCAGGGTGCATTTTGGAGATTGGGAGGATCAAGCTGGATAACAAGGACCAGGGTGCATTTTGAGCTTGGTTGGGCAGACTCCATATGGTTTTATGGTTGGGGTGGTAAGGTCGTATTCAAATTGTAGCAGCAATGCAAGTCAGAGGAAGGTTGAGTAGGGGGAGGAGGTGGACGGGGAGTGGGGAGGGGAAGTGGTGAGAATGGTCTGGAGGGGGAGGAGAGGGTAATGAAAACAGAAAATTCCTACAGTGATCCCCTACAGCTGATGTAAATGCAGATCTCAGGCTAGGGGATCACCCCCTTCCTGTGTGAATAGCATAAAATAAGACAAGACATCAGTGTGTACCAGAACTTGATTTCACTTGTGCACCAAAACCCATGAACTTGGTACGCCTATATCCTCTTTTTTTTTTGGCATCCTCCCTCCTCCCTCCCTCCCTTCCATTTCACAACTGTAGAACCCTGGACCATAATCTGTTCACTGGCCGTGTACCCAGCCCCGCCTCGTCCAGCATCTTAGAGTACAAAATGAACAACAATTTCTTCACACACGGGGACGCCAAGTTCAACTGCTCAGCTGCTGCGTGGAGCGCCGATCTCAACTGCCTCCCCACTGGCCTGCTCATCTGTGGCCGCGTTCCCTCCTCAAGGTCCCCAGCTGCCTGCGCTGCGTTTTGTGGGTTGGTGGCTGGGTCCACTGCCCCTGTGTGTGGGGGGCGTGGCTACTGCTCTGTAAATGAGTTCACTGGAAGGGGGGAGTGTGTGTGCGATCCCAACTACCTGCTTGACAGCACCAACACCAACGCATGTGTGCCTGGAGGTGCGTGTTCTCTCCACAACAGATTCATCATGTTTATTCTCGAGTGAGCTGCTGGTCTGCATCGCAAATAGATCTGTTTCTCAATACTAGTTCCGCGATTTAGGTGTTCTCTGATATCTGCTCTCCTCTGTGCTTTCTTCTCGTGCACCTGCAGCCGTTGGGGGATCGCTGGCATCGGCCTCTGCCTATGTGTCGCTGCAGGGCTCAGCCGCTGTGCTTTCCAACGGCTCCATTCTTCTCACAGGAGGGGCGCCCAACCAGCAGGGAGCAGCGTTTGCCTCTCCTGCGCTGCGCCTCTTCTACTCCCATTTCGGCCTCGGCTAAAGGATCCCATCTTACGAGAACGCGACGGTAAGATTTAGTGAAGCGGAAAACGTGCGTTGCCAACAAATCCCACGAACGTAACACCTTCGGTGAACGACGCGTAGGACCAAGGACTGACTCGAGTTGACGCTCACAGGCCGAGGCAAGGCGTGCAACACGAGTAGCGCGCTGACACACACAAACCATTTGAGGTTCCACGCTCCCCCCCTTCCCGTCGCCCACACTCCCACTTCCCGTCGCCCACGCTCCCTCTAGTCCCGTCGCCCACGCTCCCCCCCTTCCCGTCGCCACCGCTCCCTCACTTCCCTCGCCCACGCCCCCCCCCCCCTGCGTCGCCCACGCTCCCCCTTCCCGTCGCCCACACTCACCCCTCCCGTCGCCCACGCTCCCTCTATTCCCGTCGCCCACGCTCCCCCCCTTCCCGCCGCCAACTCTCTCTCACTCCCCTCGCCCACGCCCCCACCCTTGCCCTCGCCCACGCTCCCCCTCCCCGTCGCCCACGCTCCGTCCCTTCCCGTCGCCTATGTCAGATTTATATGACATATTTGCTGTAGGCTATAGTGGGGTAGCACATATGGGGTACAGGGTGTCTAGGTTTGTATTTGTACCCAATCTTTCCTTAGTCATTTCATTCCTGTTTTCCTTTATTCACATGGTATAGAGCGGGTCCTGCCTTAGGACCGTTTTTTTAGGGCCCACCGAAGCGCGCCCCGAGGCGCGCCTTTTTTTTAGCGACCCCTCGGGTCGCCTTTTCCCTCGCGGCCCCGCTGTCCCTCAGACGCGGCCCCGCCACCTCTCCTGATCGCGGCCCCGCCGCCTGCTTGATCGCGGCCCCGCCGCCTCTCCTGACGCGGCCCCGCCGCCTCCCCTGACGCGGCCCCGCCGCCTCCCCTGACGCGGCCCCGCCGCCTCCCCTGACGCGGCCCCGCCTCTACTGCCGCGGCCCCGCCGCCGCCTCTGACGCGGCCCTGCCGGCCCGCCGCTGCACCCTACGGCCCGCCGCTGCACCCTACGGCCCGCCGCCTCACCTGACGGCCCCGCCGCTGCTCCTGCCGGCCCGCCGCTGCTCCTGCCGGCACTCCGCTGCACCTGCCGGCCCGCCGCTGCACCTACCGGCCCGCCGCTGCACCCAACGGCCCGCCGCTTTGCCTGACGGCCCCGCCGCTGCACCTGCCGGCCCGCCGCTGCACCCTACGGCCCGCCGCTGCACCCTACGGCCCGCCGCCTCTCTTGACGGCCCCGCCGCTGCTCCTGCCGGCCCGCCGCTGCGCCTGCCGGCCCGCCGCTGCACCCAGCGGCCCGCCGCTTCACCTGCCGGCCCGCCGCTGCACCTGCCGGCCCGCCGCTGCACCTGCCGGCCCGCCGCTGCACCTGCCGGCCCGCCACTGCACCGGTCGACCCGCCGCTGCACCTGACGGCCCCGCCCCTGCATCTCCCGGCCGAGCCGCCCCAACAGCCGAACCGCCCGGGAGCCGAGCCGCCCAACGCCGAGCCGCCCGGGAGCCGAGTCGCCCTGCACCCGAGCCGCCCAGCCGCCGAGCCGCCCGGGAGCCGAGCCGCCCTACACCCGAGCCGCCCAGCCACCGAGCCGCCCGGGAGCCGAGCCGCTGTGCACCCGAGCCGCCCGGTCGCTGAGCCGCCTTTCTGCAGAGCTACACAACCTGCCCTGCCTGGTGAGCACAGTCCCACTGACACTGCGAGCTCTTTCCCTACTGCTTGCACTGCGTCGCTGTCGTCGCCATGGCTACCCCTAGTGTCCTAGCTTTCGACGCTGAGGGTCGCGCCATTGATTTTGAGGTCTGGTTAGACGACCTGCAGCTGTTCTTACAGTGCGACAGGGCTGACGACCTTTCTCTCTTTGACCTCACCTGTGGCGCCTCTCCTGCTCCTGCTGCTGTTGCTGATCCCTCTGTCCGCTCTCAGTGGGCCACCCGCGATGCTGCTGCACGTCTTGCTGTGCGTCGCCACCTCCCTACCTCTGAGTGTGCGCACTTTAGCCAGTACAAGAGTGCTAAGACCTTGTACGACGCTGTAGTTGCGCGCTACTCCTCCCCTGCCACTGCTGCACTGAGCCGTCTCATGCTTCCCTACCTCTTTCCTGACCTCTCTGCCTTTCCCACTGTTGCTGACCTCATTACGCACCTCCGCACTAGTGACACTCGCTACCGCGCCGCCCTTCCTGCTGAGTTCTGCGCTAAGAACCCCCCCCCCCATGTACATCGCTCTCTACTACGTAGTCGCGCGCCTCCCTGACTCCCTTCGCGTCGTCAGGGACCACTTTCTCGCTGTCTGTCCCACCACCCTCACCGTCGACCTCCTCGAGAAGGCCCTCCTCGCAGCGGAGAAGAGCATAGTCGCTGTAGGTGCTTCTCGTGGTGACCCTCGCACCCCCATCTTTGAGGGGTGCTCTCCTTCCCCCTTGCTGCCCTCTGTTGCCTCTGCTGCTGCTGCTGCCGACCTGCTTGGTCTTGAGTCGGTCGGCGCGGCGTCTACCCCTAGTGGGAGACGTCGCTCTAGCAAGGGCAAGGGGGGCAAGGGCGCGGGTGGAGCTGGAGGGGGCGGTGGCGGTGGCGGCGGTGGCGGCGGAGGGAGTGGGGGTGGTGGCGGGACTAGTGGCGGGGGTGGTGGTGGTGGTGGTGGCAACAGCAGCGGAGACGGTGGTGGTGGTGCCAGCGGTGGTGGTGGAGGCAGCGGCGGAGGTGGAGGCGGCGGAGGTGGAGGCGGTGGAGGCGGCAGCGGAGGAGGCGGTGGTGGTGGAGGAGGTGGAGCTGGTCGGGGTGGTACCCAGCAGCGTAGCGGCGGTGGTGGTGGCCAGCGCTCGCAGCGGCAGCAGCAGCAGCGCTCGCGGGACATCCCTCCGCCTCAGCAGCTTCGTGAGTGGTACGCTGGGCGTCAGAGGGGTGGGGGTACTGGTCCCTGCACCTACGTTCTTCGTTCCGGCGACCGCGCGGGTGAGCAGTGTGGGGGTGCCCACGCCACCCAGCGCTGCTTTGGCCGCCTGACGGACGCTTGGCGTCGGCAGTTCCCTGGGGCTAGTGAGATCCCTCGCTGGGATGAGCTTCTTAGGGCTGGTGTAGCGATCTTTGATCTTGATTTTGATGCTATCCTTGCTGCTATGTATGTTGTGGATTATAGTGAGGAGAATGAGGGTTACCGGTGTTTCCGGCCCGACCCGGGCATTGGTACTGCTGTGCTAGGTGCTTGTGAGGCTGCTGCTCTAGGTGCCAGTGCGTCTGTGCTCTCAGGTACTGGTGAGACTGCGCTCTCAGGTACTGCGTCGTCCTCGTCCTCCCTCACTTTCACACTTGACTCCGGGGCTTCTCGCTCCTTCTTTCGGGACCGCACTACCCTTACGCCGCTCGGCCGGCCGGTTGCGGTCTCCCTTGCTGACCCCTCTGGGGGTCCTGTCCTGTCTCACTTCTCCACTGTCCTCCCGTGTCCGGCTGCCCCTTCGGGCACCCTGTCTGGTCTGTACCTTCCCTCGTTCTCTACGAACTTGGTGAGTGGAGCGGACCTGCAGGATGTGGGGGTTCACCAGTTCACTCCTGCGAGTCAGCGGGTGACCCACTGCACGGAGGCACGCACAGGCCGACACCTGGCCACGTTCTCGCGTCGGCCTGGGTCGAGTCTCTACACCCTGACAGTTGAGTCTCCTCCTGTCCCTGCGTCTGGTCAGGTGGCTGCGTCAGGTCAGGTGCTTGCTGCTGCGTCCCGGTCAGGTCCTGAGTCTGCCCCCTGTTCTTGTCGCCTCCTGTCTCACGAGACTCTCTTGTGGCACCACCGTCTTGGCCACCCCTCCTTGCCCCGTCTTCGGAGCATGGCTTCCCGTGTCCTTGTCTCTGGTCTTCCCCAGTCTCTCCCTCCTCTCCCCTCCGGGCCAGGACCTTCCTGTGTCCCCTGTGTCGAGGGTCGCCTCCGAGCTACTCCTCACTCCTCCCACTTCCCCCCGACAGAGGCTCCCCTGCAGACGCTTCACATGGATGTGTGGGGCCCAGCCCCCGTCCGTGGGCAGGGTCACGAGCGCTACTTCCTGTTGGTGGTTGACGACTACTCGCGTTACACCACAGTCCTCCCCTTGCGCAGCAAGGGTGCGGTCACTGAGGTGCTGATCGACTGGATCCGCGAGGCTCGTCTCCAGCTCAGGAAGAGCTTCGACTCGGACTTTCCCTGTTCTGCGTCTGCACTCGGACAGAGGCGGAGAGTTCTCTTCTCGCCTTCTGCGAGACTACTGTCGTGCACGGGGGATCCGCCAGACCTTCACGCTTCCGGACTCTCCACAGCAAAATGGGATTGCTGAGCGCCGCATTGGCATGGTCATGGATGTCGCTCGTACGTCCATGATGCATGCGGCTGCCCCCCATTTTCTGTGGCCGTTTGCGGTGAGGTACGCGGCGCATCAGCTCAACCTTCACCCCCGGGTCTCTCGGCCTGCGATGTCCCCAGCCTTGCTGTGGACGGGGAAGGTTGGCGATGCGTCTGTGTTCCGTGTCTGGGGATCTCGGGCGTTTGTCCGCGACTTGTCTGCGGACAAGCTGTCCCCTCGTGCTGCTCCCTGTGTCTTCCTTGGCTTCCCCACTGACGCCCCAGGGTGGCAGTTTTACCACCCCTCCTCTCGTCGTGTTCTGTCCTCCCAGGACGTCACGTTCGACGAGTCAGTCCCCTTCTACCGTCTCTTCCCCTACCGCACTCCTTCCCTCCCCCCTCCCCCGGACTTCCTTGTGCCGGTTCCCTCCCCGGTAGACCCCCTCCCCCCTCAGGTTCCTGCCCCCTCAGGTGTGTCCCAGGTAGACGCCGTTGACCCGGTCGAGGTTACTGGTGACTCTGGTGCTGCTGCGGGTGCTGAGCCTGGGGGTGCTGACTCTAGAGGTGCTGTGCGCGGGGGTGCTGAGCCTGGGGGTGCTACTGCTGGGGGTGCTGGGCCTGAGGGTGCTACTGCGGAGGGTGCGGAGCCTGGGGGTGCTGAGCCGGGGGGTGCTGTGCCTGGAGATGCTGGGTCGGGA